AGGGGGGGGAATGGGCTTCAGTGGTGAGTTTTTTCACCAGCCCAGGTGCCCTTCCTTCATGTTCACCCAGCACTGCCCTGAGTCCCTGACCGACCACTGTCTGCACCCCAGGCAGGTGGCCCGCGTTTTCAACCCTCACCCTCTCGGCCACGCTGCCCAGGGGGGCTGGGCGGCAGGCTACACCCACCTTTCCGCTCGTGGCGTGCCCGAACCCGCAGGGTGATGTTGGCCTGGACTGGGGGCTGATCATCCTGGACCACCCAGCAGGCAAACTCGGTCGCTGCCACCGTGGCCTCTGCCTGCAACGTGTGCTCCAGAGAGTAGGTCCCATCTGAGTTTCTCGTGGCCTGGGGGGACAACACGGTCTGGATGGTATGCCTGTTCTTCATCCAGGTGAGATGCAGGTGGGAGGGATAGAAGTAGCTGGCGAGGCAAGTGAGATTCACTCTCTGATGGGCGGTGTATGCCTCAGAGGGCTTGGCAGTAATCTTCACGGTGGGGACAACTAGACAGAGGAACAGAAAGAAACATCTGTTGACATCACACCTGCCCACATGTTTTTCTCTCCTAGGAACCAACCACAAGAAGTTCTCTCACTCTTTCATCAGTTATTTTTTTTAAAGAAATATTTTTTTTTTCCTGTATGCTCAGTGTAAGGCAAATGGAGTCAGGTGTTAATAGTCATTAAATATGGGTAAGGCACATGGGTGTCTGGGATATTATTTTCTGTACGTTTGAAATACCTCATATCATGAAGTATAATTTTAAGAATTACTAAAATAGCCCTGTCTGGTGTGACTCAGTGGCTGGAGTGCACCAAGGGGTCTTGGGTTTGATTCCTGGTCAAGGGCACATACCTCAGCTGCAGGTTCAGTCCTCAGCCCTGGTCCAGGCCTGTGCAGCTAGCAACCAATCCATGTCTCTCTCTCACATTGATGTTTCTCTCTCTCTCTCCTTCCCCCTCCACCCCTCCCTTCTACCCTCTCTAAAAAGCAATGGAAAAAATATTCTCCAGTGAGGATTTTAATAATAATAATTACTAAACTATAGTGCCCATGAGTATAGAGACTTAACTGTATCCATTGTTGTATTCTCGGCACCTAGAAGAGTGCCTGGCCCATAGTCGATATTCATTTGCTGAATGAATTATAAATATTTAAAATTAATAAATAATAACAATGATATTAATTGAACAAATATGTTTGCAATAGAAAGTTGGGCCAGATAATAATAATAAACATTCATAAACAACTTACTGTGTGCCAGGCACTATTCTAGGTGCTTTAGAAGGAATAAGTCATTTAATCCTCATGTGAAACTTGTGAGGTAGGTCTTCATTTTATTTCCATTCAAAGAAGAAATTGACACACACGGAGCTTAAGTAGCTTCCTCAACATCACACAAGCTGTGAAGTGGTGCAGGGGTTAGACCCAGAAGGTCAGCCTCTGGAAGCTGTGCCTTTACTGGCTATACTAGGTGACCAGCCGTGGCAATGAGGAACTCTGGTTGCCCATTAGTGAAATGGGGCTTCGGGTGGCAGATTTTGGAAACCAATACTGCTGGGAAAACAATTCCCCCTACCCTACTGCCCACTCACCTCGGAGCACTTGGGAGAGGTTCATGGTCTTATGCAGGGGCTCTGCCAGGTCCTTGTGGGTGACTTCACAGGTGATCTTTGATGAGACATCTTGGTGCACCAGTGTCACCCACACCTTACTGGTAACGGAGTAATTGCCTTTGTCGTCAGTCACCAGGTGCTGAGCTGAGGCTGGACGCTCATCCCTGTCCTTCATCCAGGTGACATTGAAATCCTGGGAGCTGAAGGCCCCAGCGGTGCAGTTGAAAGGCACTGAATTTCCAGGGGCTGCCCTCTGAGCCGGGCCTATCAGTGTGATGAAGGGCTGCCCAGCTACGAAAAAGAGCATTTATCTGCACACCGACAGCAGGACACATCCAGCTCTCAACAGTCTGTCAGAGGCGCCTCTGCTGTCAGGCCCTGTGGACCTACTGTGCACCGTGTGTGGTTCTAGCCCCGGGGATCATATAGACAGATGATAACAAGTAAACAAGCAAATATATAATTGCAAATGGGGCTCAATGAATTAAGGGGAACCCAAAGAGTACAGAGAGAGAAAGTGCTGTGAGGAATAATTCTAGAAGGGTAGGAGGAAGATTGCCAAGGGAGGTGACATTTTGAGCTGAAACTGAGGAATGGATAGGAGCCAGCATGAGAAGGGTCAGGAAAATAACATTCTAGAAAGTGGGGAGCATAGGTGAGGATACCTAGGGCAGGGAGAGCTTGAAAAACTGAGAGGTCTGGAGGATTTCAGCATTGTGGGCAGAGGTACACATGGAGAAGATGCTTGTGGGACGTGGTGATGGTGACGTTCTTGATCCTGTTCTGATGGGAAGCCATGGGAAATCTTAAGCAGAGGGGCAAGGTGGTCTTGTTATGTTTTAGAAGAAAACTGGGGTTGCTGTGTGGAGAATGGGCAGGAGGGTGGCATTTGGGAGCAGGGAGGCCAACAAGGAGGCTGTGGCAGACATCAGGTGAGGCGATGGTGCTTGGACTGGGATCCTGAGAAATGGAGGGACCCAAGATACATTTGGGAGATAGAGCCAACAGGAATTGGTGATAGGCTGGGTAAGAGATGAGAAACACATGAATTATAGATAAGTGACTCCCAGGTTTTTCTCTTGAGCATCTGTGTGGATGGCGGTGCTAGTTTTCGAGAGGGAGAAAACTGGACCAAGTTGGAATGGGAGAGGCGTGGTGTGGAATCAGGATTTCCATTTTGGACATAAGTGTGAAGTCAAGGATCACCAGAGGCAAGGATAGCCGGCCCTTCTCTTCCTCCAGGTGTCTCCTGAGGCCTCGCTGGGCATCCATCCTCGCTTGCTCACCTCCAGGGATGGGGAGCTCTCTCCACCTGAGGCAGCTTCCTCCATCCTCACAAAGCCAGGACTGTGACAAAGTATTTCTGCTTCTAACCTAGGATCTGTCTCCTAGAGTCATCCCAGGAACTAGACTCTTCCCTCTCCCCTCAGGACAATCTGCTGAGAGCTGAGAGCCAAGACCTCTCCAAGTCTTCACTGCATCCCTTGAGCCCCTGCTCTGAGCCAGTATGTCAGTTGGGTGCTGGAGACACAGAGGTGGGTCAGACAGGACCCCTGCTCCCAGGAGCATCTGCTCAGGTATGTGTGGAAGGAGGCAAGTAAACCAGTAATGATAACACAAGGGTGACTGGTGATGGAAGGAAGCTCCGGGGCCATAGGAGTATGTCCTCTTAGCAGTGAGCTCTGGGACCTTCTGCATAGTGCTCTCTTCTGAGTAAACCCTAATGATAATTATCACTCCATCCGTGCAGTGCACCCTGTGGTTTATAAAACACTATCAGGTGTGCGAGCTCATCTGTAGCCATATCCCAACTGAGGAATGCTGGTGTCATCCCCACTCTCCAGAAGAAGAAACAGAGACTCAGAGAGTTTTAGTGACTGGCTCAAGATCACACAGCCTATTGGTGGCTAAGGAGGGGTACTAAGCTGGTCTATCGGACTATGGGTCCAGCACTCTTCCCACAATGCCAGAGGCTCTATCACTCAGGGGTTCGTCTTTCCCTCTGTCTTTCCCGCCCTCACACCCTCTCTAACTTAGACCTGGTGGCCACCCAGACCAGAGCTGACATAGAAGAAACTGGGTGGGAGGTGGGGTCCTCTTTACTCTCTGATCACTACCCCTAGCCCCTCATCCTCGTGTCACAACTTCCTCTTCCTGACCCCCAGACTCCCATCATCTCTGTTTCCCACAGGGTCCATACTGAGGAAAAGATGCAAAACAGCACCCTGGGAGGCAGGTGCACGGCTCAGCCTGGTCCTCAGTCCCCCTTGCCTCCCCTCACAACACGAGGTGGCTAGATCTGGTATCTTCGAAGCCTCCCTAACTGATCTGAGGATTCCTGCTGGCAGCACTCAGAACTCACCTGTGAGTCCCAGCAGAAGAGTGGGCAGGAGGGAGCCCAGGGCCTGCCCAAGTGTGGCAGTCATGGCAGGAGGCTCACAGCGTCGCTGGTCTGTGCTGGGCACCAACCTCCAGAAGTGTGGCTCTCTACATGAGCCCAGAAACCACTGCCTGCTCTCCTGGGTAGGGCCTGGGTAGGGCCTGCGCCTCCCAAGCACCCACCCATCCCCAGCCTGGAGCAGCAGTGGGAGCCACAATGAGAGAAGTGGTTGCTGTGGCCCAGGCTTCCTTCCAAACCCCAAACCCTCAGGTCTGAGGTCTCCAGCTGGGGAGGCACCTGCTGCCTTGGGCCTGGGTGCTGACTCTTTCATGCCAGGCCAGCCAGAGCAGGAAGGCCCTGGCTCCCCTCACCTCCTGCCCTGGCTCCCTTTGTCTCCTGCTGCAGAGTTCCCTCTGAGGTAGTGATTGAAGGCCTGCTGGAGATGTGATTGAGGGCCTGCTCTGGCCAGGCCCAGGGATGTCTCCTGGGACTGCAGAATGGACAGGATGTGGCCTGGGAGGGACTGGTGAAGTGAGCCTGGACATATACAACCAAATAAAACAAATACACCACATAGATGGTGAAACTGAAACCCTGCCCTATCACCTCCCTCCCTAAACTCACACAGTGTTGGCCAGGACTTGTCCTGTTGCCCAGAATTGTCTACTAGGCTCCAAGTTGTGGGAAGGAGAATGTTAATCATTTCCTGGCTTCACCCCTTGGTTTTTCCTGACCCCGCCCCCCCACTCTATCTGGCTTCCCAATGGCTAGCCCCGAGGTACCTACTTTTGGTTTTTATCTGTTTTCCAATGAAAATGATTAGCCATGAGGATTGCTGTCTTTCAAACACTCCAGTAGTCAGTAACCAGCACCCAGCACTGTGCTGGACACATAGTAGGTGCTCAAGAATAACGAATGAACCTTTGGGACTGGGTATGTGCTCAGGACTGGTTAAGAAGCAGCAAAGCCCCACGTGTGCGCTGCCCCACCCA